CCTACACATGAAAAAAACCCCCAGATATTGCAGTCGGAATATTTGTTGGAAATCAGTGCAAGCCGAAATTCATCAGAGAAAACGAATTGGATTGGGGGGAGCTCTTTTCTTCATATATTAAGTGCCATGCATAACGTTGTATATAAAAAACATGTGATCTGAGTGATGAGTGTGTGATGAGTGATGTGTGTGTGTGTGTGTGTGTGTGTGTGTGTTCTGCAGTGTGATAGTTTATAGTGATGTCTAGCACTTGGGCGTCATGCTGCAGACATGTACCATTATGTCCCACCCAGTCACATTATCCTGAACCAGGCCGACCGGCCCATTTTTTTAAAAAAGTTCTTGGTATAACTCGACCGAGGATCGAACCCATATCCGAGGTGGACGATCTAACTACTAGACCACAAAAGCGGTCAATCTGAACGATGAAAGCATAGCTACGGGATAATTTCCGCAGTTTCCGCAACTAGTCTATACAAGCTGGTTGTATTTATAGTTTTAGTACATGTGAAGACAGCCATGTAGAGGTTTACAAACACAACGTTTTTGTGTTTATTTGTTTGTCGTATATATGTTTTGTATTTGCCTTTGAAAAAGACTCATTAAGAGTCGAAAGCGCTTAGGCTAGTTAGTTACTAGTTTCGTACTGTTCGTCGTCAGTTTATTGCATCTATTTTAATTAATCCTTGACACACGTGATCCCTTGGTGGATCCAGTACGCTTGAAAGGGTTGTTATTCGCCATATGGTTTGTATTCTTCATATATATATATATATATATATATATATATATATATATATATATATATATATATATATATATATATATATATATATATATATATATATGATGTTAAATGACTAATCGATTTTTATTAGGATAAATATCTACACCAATTTAGAATTCAAGTAATTTATTTTGAAGAACATTTTAACGTGAAAAATGTTTCATTTTGAAAATAGACTTTAGTAAAGTCAAATGTTAACGAAACTGATTCTGGCAAGTTCATGTCAATACACGAGTTCTAACTCAGTATGAGAATCGGCTAGGACAAATAAAACAACTATTGAGGTATTTACTTACAACGTCTATAGCTAGATATTTACTTACATAGCTAGATTAGTACTTATACAGCTGCTGTCCCTCAAACACACACCGACATGAATATTAAATATACATATGTTGTTGCCGGCTTGTTACGTCATATTTATTACATCTTCTTATATGTCGAAATTTAACCTGTTTTTATTTCTCCACTGAAAACACAAAACCTAAATGTCTTGTCCTTGAATGTAGAGGACGAGCTACAACTGCAATATCCTTTAGATATCAGATTATTAGTCAGGTAATGACAAAGAAAACTCGAAGATATTCATGCTGTAATCTGCATGCTGTCACGCAATTTGCAGCTCTATTCTGCAGATCATTTGTGACGTGCAAATTCTGCAGATTAAGACAGATTTAATAATATCTATAATATACGTGTCTTGAAGTACAATATTGTTTTTATTATGTTAAACAATCTGTTATGTTTAATATTCTTTATATCCGCAAAATTATTTATTTTGCTTTTTTAGTCGTATAAGTTCTCTCTCCATTAAGTTAAATTAAAACTTTTGCCGAAGTAAAAAGCAAATCTTGGTCGGAAAACGAGCATAAATTAATCGCAAATTTGTGCATCTTCCAGAGAACACTCAAACACACACACACACACACACACACACACACATGAACATACACACTCACAGAGACACACACGCACACCAGCAATATACCCCGGCACCATTATATGTTTTGTGAAGAATTGATACCGTTACTCTAATGTCCCAGTTCCAAAAGACTTCAGAGGATTGTTTTCCTTATAAAAACACTATTTTCTGCCAAACATTTACATAGACATTCGTACTCAAATCAATCTCAACATTGTTTTTAGTTCTATTAGTAGCGCACAGTGATAATACTTACGTATTTGCATTGTCGTGGACAGGATTTGTTGGTCCAATGAAAACTTATCCATTAGACTCTGTGAAGTACAAATTGTGATGGTGGTGGGCCCGCTGACCGTTGTGGGCCCTCGGAATTATATCCTTGTCGTCCTATCCTATAAGCGACCCTGCTTATTTGAACAATTACAACTATTAGACAAATAGCCGATGACTCCATACCATTGTTACACAAATATATAATAACTCCATAGAACTGTTGCACAAGAAGCCGATGACCCCATTTAAATTAGAATGGCGGAGACTCAAGTCCCAGAATAAAACAAAAAGTCTTGTGGAAAATTCGTCTGTACAGAATGGATTAAATTCAATGTTTGCAGGAAATCTAAATCTCATTGGTATTTTTACACCAATTAGTGACTGAGGAATTGATTCGTATTCGATACAAAGCCATCACTAATGGAAATTAACGCGGAGAATAAAGGTGCAGATGTGTAGTCATCCTATACACCTTTAATTCAGTACATGGATGGAGTGCATGCTATCTGCATAACTAGAAAATCTGTTTCTAATGCAATTGATATTGATTAATTCTGAAATCGTATAGTAAAATCACACTTCAGTTGATTTGCTCAATAATTCTGCAGTTTTGTGTTGTAATAAAATTACATTTAGAATCGAACATTATAATTGAAGTCTTGCCCATACAGTCAATGTGCATAGTTAGTTATATCGTTAAGTTTAGATAAATGTAAATGTGTTTTGTATTTCTCGTGTCAACCAAATGTATTTCCCCAAGTACTGCCATCATTTGAAATCTAAATATCTAAATATCATTGATAGTAAAAATATTTAAATAATTAAAAAGTTAATAATGAGTTTTATCCACATACATCTTTAAAAGGGTCTGGATTATGTATGACGTAATGATGTAATGCATTTCATACACCATTAAAAACATAGTCTATATGAAAAGTACGAAGAGTCGTAATTAGGCATATGTGACTCCACAGTCTCTGATTGCGCCACTGTGGATGGAAGCATAACTCTAGCTCATAAATTGGAAACTGTTAATATACCTCTATAGATCACAGATCACCTCTGTTCGAGTCTCAGGCTAGGAAAACTTGACTATGTAAGAAAGTTTGCCAGTAGTTTGACATTTATTTTAATAAAAAAAATATTTAAATTTTTATAACAACCCAGCCATTGGTTGAACTTCCATGAGTAGTTTTACTAGCAACCACTAAGACTCCTTAGCAACTAGTAGAAAGTGTATTTTCATATCTACCGCAGTAACATACACCCGTAAAATTTTAATCAAAGAATTGGAGAAAATATTTATCATGTCGTGATCTACAAACAACTGTTTGGATCACAGTCTTAATACAAAGCATACTATTTACACCTTCTCTATGACTACTTGATACAAAGCATACTATTTACACCTTCTCCATGACTACTTATAAGGTCATCAAACAACAGTCTTGATACAAAGCATACTATTTACACCTTCTCCATGACTACTTATAATGTCATCAAACAATAATGTTCAATGTGACAACTTCTGGTTACTAGTGTTTTGTTTCGCCGTCATATCAATAATAAACATGTGACATCAACCAGGTGGAAGCCTGTTTTAATATTTTTAAGCCAAACTTCATAAATAAAAGAAACATATTTTACCTATTGAACAATAGCAGTTCATATGGAAATCTAAAAACTGTCCGCAAATGGACCAACCATTAGTTTTGGTAGAGGGTAGGATCCACTCTGGTTTTTCTTTCAGACCAGACTTTTTCTCTATTCTCGAATGATAGTTTAGGCGGTAAAACATTACAGACACCACCTAAAACAATCAACTGGACAGTTCTTGAGTTCAATGCAACCATGATAAAATTCTTCTACATTTAGTTTAATCTATATCTTACTAAACAAAATCCACTTTTTTAAAAATTGAACCTAGTGAATCATACTTGATTCATTTAAAATATATGTCATTAATACCCCCCAACAAATTCACTAGATTTTATTTAAGTTATAAGACTTGATCAAAGTCTTGACTTGTATACTTTCATATCAATACGCTATTTACTTCCTCCATTTATTTGGGTGAGTCCATCTTTCTTCCATTTCCGTGTTAAATCTCTATACAACATTTTTTATTACTAACAATAAACTTGCACAACGGTTGAACATGTGATGAGTGTATGTCAACCATATAAAGAAACAGTGTTCGTGTTTAATCCTGTTTGTTTGTTTGTTTGTTTGTTTGTTTGTTTGAGAGAGAGAGAGAGAGAGAGAGAGAGAGAGAGAGAGAGAGAGAGAGAGAGAGAGAGAGAGAGAGAGAGAGAGAGAGAGATGCACTGCTCTAAAACTATTTAAAAGAACTGCTTTACTTGAATATTATGCATTAAAACTATTTAATCCCTGTTATGTATAATTAATTTAATTGTTTGTTAGTTTTTTAAGAAAAATATATTGCATGCTATTGCAATTTAAAAGTGTCTGCTTAAACTCGTCCAAATTGAATTCATTTCTGCTTGACCTGAATGACCTTTTAACATTTTTAATATCATTTTATGTTAACAACTAATAAATAGATAAAGTATTTCCTCTGTTTTTGAGCTTAATATCAGAATTATTAGTAATTGAAGTAAATATGTTAATTTGGGTCAGCATTTTGCACTTTCCTAAGTGAATGTTTCAAGTTATGGTTTTGATTTTTTAAAAATCAAGATCATTTTCGTATGTTATTTTCCATTAAGTAATGTTTTTTTTCTTATAAAATACTAATTGTGACTTGAGGTCACATAGAAAACTATATACTCTTGTAATTATGAAGACTTGGTCATTCGTGCTTTAACATCTAGCACTTTCAAGTTGCGTTATGTTGTGACCAATTGGGCTAAATCTTATTTTCTTCAAATTATTGAATTAAGGGATCATTTTCTCTGGAAATACAAAAGTGTCCTGATCAATTTCTTGAATAAAGTCATTCACTGGAATTTATGCCTAATTCAAACCTGTAATAATATTGATGTGATTAACCGCTCCGGTGGCCTAGTGGTTAGAACGTCCGCCTCAGATGCGGGAGGTCGTGGGTTCGATCCCTGGCTTAGTCATACCAAAGACTTTTTAAAAAATGGTACAAACAGCTGTCTCGCTTTGCGCTCAGCATTAAGAGGTCAGTGTTAGGACTGGTCGGCCTGAAGTCAGGATAATGTAACTGGGTGGGACAGCAAGCCACTTGTCTGCGGCATGATGCACCAGTGCTAGACATCACTATAAACTGTCACACTGCAGACATCGTAGCTATATAACTAAAATATTCTTAAAAGCAACGTTAAAAATCTAAATCACACACTCATATTACTTTGATTAAACCGAAGACTGTTGACACATCAGTACTCTATAAGCTTTAATAGACACGTCATCGTCTTCAGTTCAGTATCTTTTCGTGACTTGTATTGAGTTATATTCAGGACTTTAAATGACTATGACTGTAATTCTTTCATTATTTATGTAATTTAATTCACAATATCATAAATTCTTTTTCTAATTTTCACATTATGTTCTAGGGAAATAACTTATTAAATACATTTTACAAAGTCTTTCACTCTTTTCGGTTACATAATTTAAGATCATAGACTCGTAACAACCCCATCAGCGATAGCAGTAGATGGTCTTTTAAAATTTCTTACATTAATATAAAACATACTTGGACCGAATGGTTTAAACATATCTGAATTGCTCCATTTTGCAGAAGGGGTCGGGATACACGTTCTCGTGACATTAGATAAGCCCTTCCTAATAAAAAATACAGTGGTAGAAATTAATCATCCATGACAAGTGGTAGAATTAAAATAATGAATAAAGTAGAAGGAAGAGAAAATACAAAAAAAAGAACAAAAACAACCAATTAGGTGTGCTGATAATAAGCGGGGAAAGATTAAAAAAGGGGTTAAAAGATTTTCAAAACAAGAAAACAATGATGCTAAAAAATTTTGGAAGGAATTACATTTATTATGTAATGCATCTACATCACTCTCATTTGGGCATTATACAGTCTGAGGAAGAGTATTAACACTAAAACTAAGAAACCATTCATATTTAGATCGCGGTGGGCATTTCGTTAAGGATAAATATTAAACTTTGTACTGGAACTGTGCATATGAAAATATGACTATATGCACTTTCTACTTCTGCCCTACAGCTGAATACGAGATCATCAGTTAATTGTCATACGGATCTTTTTTTTTTTTGAGGTCGTTACATTGGTGCATGTTCCCAGTATGAATACTAGGGCATTTGCTAGCATCGGAAAAGTAATAGAAAGGAACGCTATTATTGAGTGGGGTAATATATTTTTTTAAGTTTTAAGATTTCGCTTTCGGATTTGATACTTTCAGGTAGGTTATTTCATATGAGAATAGATGAGTTCCCAAGGATATTTTATTATTCAAAGTCTGACATCGAATGTAGAGAGGTTTTGTTGATTATGCAAATTGTATTTTGAAAATTCTCCTACCAAACGAGAAAGTAATTCATTTAAATTACTTGGTGAAGAATTATAAATAATTCTATTAAAAATGCAGATTTGTAAAATATTTTCTTCTCTATGGTTAGACCCGTGACTAACTTAGTAGCAGTGACTAACTGAAATCTCCTTAATTTATCTGAGTCTGCTTAGTCAACCATAGAACATACATCGGATATCTTACATACTTATAGAAGCGTAAGAAAGAAGACTGTCGTCGGCAAAAAGTCTACAGAGACAAAGTAGATCATCAGCAATATCAATGATATATACAAGTAACAGTAACGGTTCTAGAACTGAACCCTGCAGCACCGAAGCTAATTCTTCGGTTTTGACAGCAACTGATTGTGTTCTACCGGAAAGATAGTTAATGAACCAATTAATCAGATGTGATTCTGTTCCATAGCTGTTAAGTCTATTGACAAGACCTTTGCGCCTTACTTGGTCTAATGACTGCGATACATCAGTAAATATTTCACTGCGATACATCAGTAAATATTTCACACGTATTCTCTACGCCTCACACATATAATAAAAGATATATATCTGTTGGTACACAGCTGAGTGATTTGGAAAACGTTCCGATTGATTTTTGCAAATAAGATCATTTTCATATGAACAATTGTATACCTGTTTGACAATGATCCTCTCCATGATTTCGCCCACACAGCTAAGTAAAAAAACAATAAATGGGTTTGTAATTGCTTAGGTCTTTTCCTATCTTTCTCGTGTACTTACTAACGCCTATTTCGTCCAGAGAACAAGTAAAATTTTCTCATTAATACGTATGTTGAATAAAATACACAGTTTTTATAATTAATTGGTGCTGCACTCATTAGAAGCTTGTGACTTTTCAAAGTAACGGGCTTTGTTAGAAGAATGGTTCTTATGACGTCTAGGAGTTTCTGTTAACTGATTACTAACCTAATCAATTTGTTAAATCTACGAAGTGGTTAATTTAGGTAGAGCTACATTGGAATTCTGTGCTCAATTTGCCATTACGTGACGTTTTTTGTAGTAATGGTATATTATGGGTTAATATTTGTTTAACTACGTGTCAGGTGAGCCTCCAAAAGTCTTTTGAGTTGCTAAGAGATTATCAATTTTCATAAAATTTAAATAATTTTCATATGCACATCTTTTGATTATTTACTTTATTTCAGATTTGAAAAAAATATTTTTCATAGTCTCTTGTGTTGTTTGTTCTAATAGCTTTCTTTCTCAACAGATCTTTGTTGCTGGTATATCATCGTAAAACGCCATCGTACCAAGCTTTATCAGTAGTGATGTCATTGTAGTGATGCATCTGTCTGCTATTTCTAATAAGGTGAGAGTAAAATTGTTACACTGTTGATATCGGAGCACGGACTAACGTTTTCTTTTTTTCAGTAAAAGTTTTGAAATAAATTATTAAGCCTCTGAAAGTAAAGCGTGTTAATAAAGCCACACCATCCGTCTAAAGCATGAAGTCAATCTATTATATAATTTGGTTATTATAGAAGTTACCCGGTATTTCATGTATTGACATCAGTAGAAAAAAACTCCATAATTAAGAATTTCTATATAAGAAGATACAATAAACGGGTTGAAAAAGATGATGTTACTATGGTAGTTTCATTTACTTCTTCAATTGTTTTGTGTCATAAATTTCCCTTAGGTTGCATTAGACTGGAATTCAGCAAGTCACCGTTTAGACTTCAAAGAATGATTAGGTGTACAGAAATGCGAAGAGCTTGTTAAATAAATCATAACTGGCCCCCATAGTTCTATCACAACTAATGGGTTTGACGTACCCATTTAATTTTAATATCATGTCTATGTCAGGGCAATATTATCAAACTTACCGAAATTTTCATTGAGAAATTCAAGTTTGTCTCAGATAGATCTAACTATTTTAGGGAACAAAAGAAAGTCTTCATCTGTTGCTGTGAATCATGAATTTAAACTGTTTGTATATGATATATAGCATTACACCCCCACCCCCAACCCATAGTAATACAAAATATAACATCATAATGCATTAGTATTTTCTGCTTTGTTATACGTCTAGCTCTAACAGTAAAAGACCTATACACATTCATCTTGCAAGATTGTAGTTCACTTTATTACATTTTTATACCAGTAATTATATAGCATAATTACAATGACATGAGACAGAAGAAGGTATATAAAACAAATCAGTTGTGAAAATGGTCGTGGGTCTTCAAGTCTTAATTTAAATTACTAAAGAAAACCTATTTAGCTATGGCAAAGTCGTTATCCCCCGCTAAACTAATTTTTGGTAACACGAAGAATGTTGCATTGACTGAATGCCTGAGTGAGAGAAGAAGTGTATGGCGACGATGATTAACATGCATGTGCGCTGATAATACACATACTCGCACTGTGCAGGTCACAAGAAAACTGTTGTCTTTCTATTTATGTCTTTATTTGACTATAAACTCTAAAACCAACAGGTAATTAATACTGAATTTATTGTCTGTCATTTGGCCAGAAAAGAACGAAAAGCTTATTACTCGACGATTTTTTAAAATTAATTTTCGTGCAGCCAGTATAAGGTCAATTAACAATGTAGAAGTTAATCCATATATGTATACCTATGAACAGCAATAATACTGTGAGTCACATTTGTTCTATTTGTATGTATATTGGATTCTTTAGTGCTTAATTCATTTACAGATAATATAAATGAACTTTGAAAACCTGATAACTATCTACAGTGTCCATTGACCTAATTTCAAGTCCCAAGGCTAGTTACAGTAGCTTAAATGTTCCATGTGGAATGTGACAGATGCACGGATGAAGAGGTTTGGAAATTTATCAAAATGAATCAATATTCATGCCGGTTCATCCGCCCTGAGGAAAGAAAGGACTTGATCGAAATCCGAAGACAGCCGCACGTAGTTACTACAGGTAAGGCAAGGAGATACCAGCAATGTCTGATGCTGTGTGTAGCAAGGAGACAGCGACCAAGTCAGAGACTGTTCATGTATCCATGGACAAGTTTGTTAACACCATATAACCCATATTTTTTATTTGATTGCAACCAAACTTGCAATAAAGCTCCATACCAACAAGGCAATGGGTTGCTTTGTTGCTGATGACCAAGAATGGCTTGCATTTTAAAGGGTTTTTGTGCTTTATCAACTTAGAATAAACAACCGATCACTACAGCATTCACACGTTTTCTTTTGATTTCAACCATAGTTGATTTGAAACTTCACTGTAATAAAATCTAGGATGAATTTGATGATGACCAGAATGTGACCAGATTATACAAAGTTTCAAACATATATACATAAATACACACACACACACACACACACACACACTCACACACACAAATATTTATATATACATACATAAGAAGCGACATCAATTGCAATGGTATATTACCATTCACAATACAAGATGCATGGAATGACAATAGTGAGAAAGAGAGTCAGAGAGATAGTAAAAGAGACAGACTGACCTGCATCATTTTGCAGACTGATAGGTCATTCAAATGATGCATACACGGACCATGGAAGAAACAGGAAGACAATTTAAAAACATACTCTTATTAGCAACCACTGTATCTTTATG